ATACTTATGACAATGCATATTTATGCAAAATACAAGCTGTTAGAAATTCAAGATGCCGTTGTGGTCAAATAGATGATTATATGCACCTAACCTTCAGCTGTCGCTTTTTTAATAATTTAAGATCAAGTTTCCCTGTTGTCAACAACTCAAGCACATTTGAGGAGATTTTTATACAAAAAGACTTAACCAAGATTACTCAACTCTCTCGTTTCTTACAAAAAGCCAAATTTAACTTCTAAATTTTATTATGCATACAATAGGTATGCTATCGACATGCTCATATCACCAATTATATGTTTTTACATGTTTGTATCGTTAATATGTATTTTGAATATCTACCGAAAATCGTTCCACTTAGTCCAGTCACATAGAGTCCACGTTTGACACTCGCTACAACTCACATGTGTCAATCAGTGCAATCGTCTAAATTGCACTCACTTGCTACAAGCTCTCTTGTACACGCTCGTATGAAAATCACATTGGCCAGCTCTGACAGAAGAATCCGGACAACGAATAAGTTCACACGCTACTAGTGCACGGCATATGAAACAAGGAGGAATAACCTGGTGTTGTGTGTTCCGCTAAGGTCACATGCCACGCAAAAAGAATTCAAAAAAAAAAAAAAATGCGAGTATTTTATTTGCTAATTTTTGCGATTTCTATTGTTTAATGTAAATTTGTCTTTTTAGGATATGTCGAGCCAACAAAGAAGGCGCAGTTGGAAAATTTAGTAATTAGTAATGAAGTAGCAGGCATATTTGGAAAATTATGCCGATAAACAGGATGGAATTTGGGAAAGTAAGTGCATGGTTGCAGCATATCTATGTATAAAAAGTTTTTAATTAAATTGTTTATAGAAATGTTATAAATCGAGTGGCTCATTTACGATGTGCTCCAAACATTTGGCGAACTTTTTTTCGCCTTTTCAACGTGCTAAGTAACAAGTTAAGATGACTGCCATCATGGGCCGGTAAGAAACCGCAAGCAAAGGGCAGACAACCTTCCAGGAAGCTGCCTCCTGTCCCCGAGCCGAAGCTGCAGTTCAGCAAGAGCAGGTCAGCAAATTGCTACCCTGATCAAACGTAAACTAAAGCGCTCTGCTGTGATTGCACTCCGTAAATGTGAAAACTTGGTGCATGCTGAGAAGTATCAAACAAGAAAACTCCGTGATGGACGCCGTGAGATGGTGTAACGCTGTGTGGCAAAGAAATGCGGCCAATTCGACGGGCTTTTGTGATCCGCATCCGCGGTATCAACAAAGTTGCACAAAAAGTGCGTAGTTTTACAGTTCTGTCTTCGCCACATTAAAACGGTGTGTTCCTAAAATTGAGCAAGGCAACCATTAATATGCTACGTATGCCGAACCCCCTATATGGGGTTATCCAAATCTTAAATCAGTTTGTGAATTGATGTACAAACGTGGAATGGTCAAGCGTGTCCCAATCTCTGCTTTGTGATCGAACGCAAATTTCGCGAAGCGCACGAAATTCAGTGCGTTGATTCACTTCACTTCAAGAAAGCCCCCAACTTCCTGTTGCTATTCAAGCTCAACACATCAACCCGAGGCTGGCGCAAGAAGGCTAATCGCTACGTTGAGGTTGGTGATTTCGGTAGCCGTGAGGATAAGATCAACAAATTGCTGCACAAGATGGCTTAAAGAAATTGTTGTTTTGTATTTAAGTAGACAATATAATTTGCACATCTTCAAAAGACGCCCAAGCAAAAAAAAAAGAGAATTAAAAAATTCCTGAAGTTGCCTTTTCACGGGTCGATTTCTGTCGACTGGAAAATTTACTTAAGATATCGACTAGCCAAAACGCTTACATTTTACGGTTGAATTGCAATTTACACGGGTAGATTTTGGTTAAACGACAAAAATCGACCGTGTAAAGGCAGCATAAATAACGTTCAAATTAATCACCCCCTTTGAGATGGAAAATACCAATAACCATTTCATAATTTCGAAAATTATTCCATTTATATTTGTTCTTGCATTTTCCACACCACTTGTGAGGTATGCTTTTACGCGCGTTACCGATTTGTTTTAATGTGCTCGGTTGCCCAGGAGGCCTATTTTCACCTTTACAACTTAACTTAAACAGAATTAAAACTAAAGCATGCAATATATAAAGAAAATTAAAAGTTGTCTTACATCTAGTAAACTTAAAAAATTGCACATTAA